CAGTTCTGGTAAGCTCTTTCAACTCGTCAAGCACCAAGGAACACTGCAAAACCATCTGCTTGCCTGCCTTGTTTGCTACCAATATTGTCCCCAGGATTCTCAGTTGTTCTCACAACCATCACCTGATGGCCAATGGTCTCGAAACCGTTCAAAACATACTTCTGGACGCATTTCTTTTGGGGGTAACTCACTACCAGCTCACTTCCATCGTGTGGCTGACAAATGACCCACTTTTCCTTAAAACCGGTACTGGCACTGTGGTGTGGCACGCTAGTCCTCCACCTGCCACGCTGGGAATCCCACTTGGGTGTCAGTTTTACTCCTGGCTGCTCCACTTCCCACCCAGCTCCGTTTGCGGCCTGGGAAAGTAGCAGAAGATGACTCAAATTCTTGGGCCTCTGCACCTGTGTGGGAGATCCAAAAGAAGCTCCTGGCTTCGGATCAGCTCAGCTCTGGCTGTTGCGGTCATTTGGGGAGTAAACCAGCGGATGGAAGACCTTTGCTATTTTTCCTTAAGTTTGCCTTTCCAATAAAAAAAAAATAATCTTAGGTTTTCTTCTTCACTCATGTGATGATATACCATTTTTTTTTTCTAAAACTCCGCATTATCATCAAAAGCTCAGCACCTGAAACCCTCTTACAGAGCTACAAACCACACAGTTTGGAGACCAAAGTGACGAAAATGCCACATAACACCCTCAGTCACCATTACCAAGAGAAGCAGTGCTTAAGCACACGGGGTGCCGGGGGCTTCCACTCACCATCATGCACGGAGAACCCACGTGAGCCAGGAGATACCGATAAGGAACCAGAGCACCCAGCTACAGGGAGAAATCTGGGGTGCACCAGCTGGTGCTGCTGGGAGCAGTGGCTGGGCTCTGGTGTGGCCCAGCACTTTGGTGGCTTTTTGGAGTTAGTCCCCTCGTAAGCCACCAGTGTGTCAAGTCTCACCTGAACCACAAGAGCGGTTCTCTACAAGACGTCCAACTACACACACTTACCTTTCAATTCTCAAGGGCAGAGGCTGGCATGCAGACGGCAGGTTTTCTCACACCAAGTGCACGACGGAGGGACAGCCGAATGGGCAAGCCAGCAGCCCAGTTCCACAGCCAGGGCAGCCGGAGTGCAACCTGGCCCTGGGTGCTCGAGTGCTGTTAAGCCTAAGGAGCTAAAGTCAGCCAACCTGTGAAGGAACGAGAAACACGGACTCCTCCCCAACCACAGCTGAAAGTCATCCCCCAGCAAGGTGTGGAGCTGGAATGGTCGGCAGGTGCAAAGCAGCAACACTGCCCCCCAGCGGAGGAGCGTGGCAAGTGCAGCAAGACATTAAATTCACAATGTAAAGTTCCGTTTATTTTGGTGCTCAAAGTTGGGTCCTCACAACATTCATGCAAAATGCATATTATCAAGTGGCACACAGTAAGGGATGTTACCCTGGGGTAGGAACGCCAGACACTAAGGACATTCCAGGGCCACAGAAAAGCTGAGTGTGAGCCGTGGCCACCACCCATCACTGTGCAGCGTCCTGGTTTGTATGCCTGGACTGGAGTGCTACTGTTTTAGGGAAATAAAGATACTGAAACACCTGCACTTAGACATATCTTCTCTTAATCTAAGAAGTGCTGCATGTAGCCTGCCTCATGCTCCCTGCGCTGGTACCTGCTGGACTGAAGCAGCTGTGCAAACCATGTGGAAACTGGGGCTTAGTGGCCAGCCGACCCAATGCCCACCTGGTCTGGCTACTTCCTTGCTGTTTGGCATGGACATGGCGAAGATCTGCTTTCCTGCTCCTGAGGGCACAGCCTGCCCAAGCCTCAGGTGCCCACACTGCAGTGTCCCCACCCCCCAGGTGCCCACACAGATGATGACACAGGCAGTGGCAGCAGTCGCGTTTATTGAAAATCTGACAGTGGGAAGGGTCACACGGCTCCCCGGGGCGTTTTGAAGTTCATCCCGACAGTGGGCTGAGTGACCTGCAGGTTGGACAGGCTGCCGAAGTCCTGCAACAGCAAAGGGACGCGGTGAGAGCCGACGCAGTAGCACCCCGCCTGGTGATGCCACCATTACCCAACTGGCCCACCACCCTGGCTCTCACACCCAGACTCAGCCTGCCATGGGGCCACAGGCCTTGGAAGGGAAAACACTCCTCTGTATTGAGCGCATTCAAAGCTTTCTTCCCCCCCCCTTTTTTTTTGGAAAGAGTTTTAGATGAAAATCTTTCATCCATTTGTTCACTCCCCAGACAGCCAACAGCCAGGAACTTGGTCCCACATGGGCCAGGAGCCCAAGCACTTGGGCCACTCACTTCCCGATGCTTTCCCAGGTATGTTAGCAGGAGCTGGAGCAGCTGGGGCTCGAGCCAGCTCCCACAGGTGATGTGGGCACTGCTGTGCCACATCACTGGTGCCCAGACTATCTACAAGCTTATTACTTGAAAAGCAAACACTGACAGATACCTGCCACTTGCAGTTCACTGCCCAAATGCCCCCCAAACCAGGACTGAGAACTTGAGCCCAGGTCCCCAGCACTCCGACAGGGGCCGAGGGAGCCCCCAGCCCCATGCCAAGACTCCCTGCACGCCCTCCCTTCTCACGGTCAGCACTGTGATGACAGTGAGTACATTCATAGGAGATCGGCCTGGGACACCATATGCCCGCATGTACAGAGTGGAAGCTCTTGGTGGTGGCGATGGGCGGTTTAGGAGAGCGCTGCCAGCCATTACCCCGCCAAGTCCTGACCCCATTCCCATTAGCCTGGTCCCAATCTCCCAAGGCGAGCCCAGGGAGGACTCTGGCTCCTGTCTGACCCAGCCTGGGCTGCTGTGGCCATACGGTGTGAACCCACAGATGGAAGTTTGAATTAAGGCAAACACGAGGTGTGCCTGCACTCGCAGGAGCAGGAGCGGGCTGGCAGGAGGGCAGAGGCAAGAGGGTCTGCCCAGAGCCCAGGGTCCCTCGCTACAGGAACCTGCCCACACTCACCAGAAGCTTCAGCATCTCCTTGGTGTCGGGGTCCACTTCGATGATCTCCTGATCCAGGGCCGAGACCTAGGAAGAACGCAGGTGGTAACGGGGCGCCCTCACCCCCTCCGTGCAGGGCACCCCGTTCCCCAGGCGCAGACCAGAGCTCACCTCGGGGACGTAGTTGTCTCTCCGCTCCCTCTCCTCCTCCTGCAGCTTGATGGAGATGCCTCTCACAGGGCCTCGCTGGATGCGCTTCATCAGGTGCGTGACATAGCTGCGAGCCCAAGCCCCGGGTCAGCCCGCGCACCGACCCCCAGCTCTGGGGAGGCCAGGGGGCCCAGGCAGCACTACGCGACCTGGATGCGCCCCGAGCCCCGGGTCACCCCGCGACCTGGCTGAGCCCCCAGCCCCGGGTCACCCCACGACCTGGCTGCGCCCCCAGGCCCTGCTCACTCCACCCCCAGCCCCGCGTCACCCCACGACCTGGCTGAGCCCCCAGCCCCGGGTCACCCCGCGACCTGGCTGAGCCCCCAGACTCAGCTCACCCCACGACCTGGCTGCGCCCCCAGACTCAGCTCACCCCACGACCTGGCTGCGCCCCCAGCCCAGGGTCACCCCACGACCTGGCTGCGCCCCCAGGCCCTGCTCACTCCATCCCCAGGCCCTGCTCACTCCATCCCCAGCCCCTGCTCACCCCGCGATCTTGTTGCGGAGCTTCTTGCTGGGGATGATGGCGATTTCCTCGCACACGCGCTTGTTGGTGTGGAAGTCATTGCCCAGCCGGGTGTAGTACTTCTCAATGATGACCCGCGCCGCCTTCTTCACGGTTTTGGTGCGAACGCGACCCTGTGAGTGCATAGGACGGGCTCAGCGGAGAGCAGCCAGGGCGCGAGCCCAGCGCGCCCCGGGAGAAGAGCCGAGTCGGGATGGGGTCAGCGAGCGACGCCGCGCCAGGGCGGACACCCGCGGCTCCCAGACACACAGGGCCCCGCGCACACACGGCCCTGAAGCTGCCCCTGAGGCTGGGGAACGCCAGGGAGCTGCGGATGGAGGACGATGGAACTGGATAGCGCGCCGACACCGAATCACCTACCATGTTGGCGGACCGTGAGTGAAGAGAGGAAGCAGGAAGCGACGAGGCGTATAAGGCACAGGTGAAAAGGCCGCTTCCGCCCAGCCCGGGACGCGCAGAGCTCGCGCCAGAACACCACAGCGCTCCCTGGCGGCGCGGAGGTCGAACGGCAGGGCGGGTCGCTGGCGGCTTGGGCGGGGCATCCGCGACGCCACGCCCCCCGGTGGGTGTGGCTCCCGTGGGCCGCGCCCGTTTGACGGGCTCCGGTGGGGGGGTGTGTGTGTGTGTGTGGAAACCTCGGGGTCCCCGGGAAGATGAAAGATCCACCGCCTCAGGACCCCTCCGCTGCCCGCCCCGCTCAGCTGTGTCCACCCCTCCCTGCCCTCCTGAACCCCCAGCATCAGCCTGGGGCGCCGGTGCAGGGTCCTGGCTCGGTCCGGGTCCCCAAGGTGGCTCCCCAGGGGCCGAGGGGCCTCCTGGCTCCGGGACCCTGGCCGGCTGGCCATGCCTCAGGCCTCCACAGCCAGGCCGCTGCCCTTCGGGGAGGAGACAAGGTCAAGGCCGGAGCTGCGACAGCAGGGGCTATCCGCAGAGGGGAGCTCCGGGGAAGGCACGGGTCGGGGTGCCCCTGCAGGCCCCCTCAATCTGAGCCTCCCCAAGGGTCAGCCAGCAGCTGGACCCCACTCGTCAGGAGGCCTTGGGAGAGACCAGGGAACCCTGAGTAGAGTCTGGACGGCCCCTCCCTCTTACCGGGCTTGGCCCAAAGTCCCCGGTGGACGGTGGACGCGGGAACCCCTGCAGGAGGCCAGGGGAGAGAATGCCCCAAGACGCTGGCCATGCAGTGTCCAGGAAGTGCTCACTCCCCTACCCCACCAGAACACAGGAGTTTCTGTAACTCAGGGGTCTCAACCGCCCAACCGCCCCCACATCTCACAATGACACAGAAGAACAAAACCAGAACTCTGCTGCAACGTGTTTATTATGTGCCAAAAAAACTACACCACAGCTTACTCCACACATCTGCAGGCGAGTGCAGTCTTGCCTGCAATATACTACAGTGAGGTAGAGACTTCACACAGGCTCCACAAAACCCACAGAGTAGCTGGGATCTGCGACAATGCAACAGCAGCTCAGCGGGGAGGGGGGCATGACACTGGTTCTTTGGCACACGGCTTCCCTAAGAGGGGCAAGTAGTTTAAAAAAAAAAAAAAAAGGAAAAGGAAGAGTCAAGTTTTCAAATTCCAGTAGCATTTCAAGTCAACTGCAACTGTGGTTTCGCACATTCCTCAAACGAAAGACATAGGAAGGGCACAGTCCCCTGGGAGACGGGCTCCCCAGGGCCTTCGTCTGCCCCCACCCGGAAAGCAGCCCTTTATTTTTTTTTTTTAAGCTCAAGTTACAAAAGAAAAAAAAAAAAGTCCCGTGAGTTTGTGATTAAAAACTTCTATTAACCCTCCCCCCATATAAGTGCAACTGAAGAAGGTGCAATAAACTATTTGAAACTATGTACAGCAGCCGCTCCAATGCCCTTTATCGGGTCCAGTTTCAAATAAAACAAAAATAATTTTTTTCTTGGTCTGCAAATACCTCGATTTGCAACTTGTGTGAAACAGTGACCGGTAGTCCCCAGACACAAATTTGCAGTCATGTTAAAAGCTGCCAGGAAAGGAAAAAAAAGAATCTCTTGTTCCAAATGACTTAAAAACTGTTTTTAAGGAGTGTAAAAAGGAACCAGTAAAAACCCTCGAGCGTAAAATATGAAATATGATTTTGGTTTAAATGAAGAGCAAAGTCTCCTTGTTGTTTACAGTAAAAAACACCAGCTGAACACTCAGTTTATGCCGTTCAGGTGGGGGTTAAATAAATGGAAAGGCACTGTATGGCAACTGCGAGAATGAAACCAATGAGACCTGCGCGTCATCACCATCAGTATTGCAAGGAATGTAAAAAAGCGCTTTTAATAAATAAACCTCTAGATGTAGGCGTCCGTGTCAATACCTTCTGGACACAGTCTTTTTTTTTTCTTTTTTTCTTCTTTTTTGCTTTTCATCGGCAAAAATGAGAAACTAAAATCTGGGAAAACTACAGAGTTGCTTGGAGGACAGGCCAGAGAATCCTTGCCCTGGCGCAGCCCTGGGAACAAAACCTGACCAAACTCATTGTGCATTAATTAGTGCAGAAACAAAGACAGATTCAGCAAGTGCAACGGTGACTAGGATTTTCCCTTGTCCTCGGAAACCAGCTCCCTGGGTTGCCCCGGGCAGGTGCAGCTGGCCATGGGCGCCCCAGGCCTCCTGGGCAAAGCCGCCGCCTCTAGCTGGACTCGCGGTTCTTCTGGTTCCGCATCAGGGGGCTGTGGTGACGCAGCCCCTCCATGCTGTGCCGCCAGTGCCAGCAGCTCCGGCAGAAGTACTTGAAGCAGACCTGGATGGGTGGGGCACACGGGGTAGGGTGGGAGCGTGGTGGTTGTCACATCTGTGAGCGCAAGCCATGGAAGCTGCTGCGCAGGCCGCTGGCTCTGCTCAGACAGAAACGGGGTGCCTGCTCGCCTCCAACAGAGGCCTAACTGGCTATGCCTGATGCCCGATGCCCTGACCTTGGCTCCCCAAGGCTCCGGGGAGCAACAGCCCTGCTCTCCCAGTCCTCCTCAGCACTCAGCACAGGGCTGCTCGCACTTTACAGGGAGATGGATGGCCAGCTGACGGTTCTGGCTGGTGGGAGGGATGGGGTGGGGGTCCCACCTCTTGCTGTGTAGCTTCAGGGAAGCCATTAGTCTGAGCAAGGATCTGGACGTGGAGATCACCTTTGAAGGATTCAAAAGGCTGCAGCTGACTAGGGAGGCCCGGAAGCTTTCCCCCAGTGAGCCAGGTAGTCTGCACAGCTCTTGGGGACTTGTGGTCACTGCTACCTGACTCAGGTGGCAGCATCACCAACAGCAAGAAAAGCACAACCGGGCTCTCAGTGCTTTTGAAGCCACCAACCCGACAGAGTGGCAGACCAGTGACTGACACCACAATGAGCCTCCTTAGCAACGACAACCTTGGGGTCTGCAGGCTTAGGATCCATGTTGAAAGGAATCCCTCTGGGTGACATGAGTGTGTCAGTGTGAGACACAGGGCCAAGCATGTCCACACCTGTGCCCGCCTCCCTGAAACATCCAGCGGGGACTGCTGCCAACCCTTCGCCAACAGCCAGGGTTGCAGAGGGAAGGTGGTGGGGTCCAGGAGCAGGGTCTGGGGCCTCAGCACTACAGCAGCACTGCTGCACCCCGCTCCCACCCCAGCACAGGACACACTGCACTACTGGTGGGAAGAAAGCCAGCATGCCAAAGGCTCATGGGACCGCACCCTGCCTAGAGCATGGCCCAGGCCTGGCCCTCGGGGACTGTGGCCACTGCCCCTTTTGTGCTGATGCCCTGAAGGACCTTAGCGCTCCAACACTTGCTGTCCCCAACCTGGCCTAACAGTTTTACCCGGGGCAGGGGCTTCGCAGACCCGGGACCCAGGGGACTCACCTGATCACGACAGAAGAAGGGACCTGGCTGAGAACCACAGATATGACATGGAGAATCCTCCAGGTAGGGGTCGATCTGGACCTGCAGGGTGGCAGAACCAAGGATGGGGAACCCAGGGGTTGGGGGAGAAGGGCATGGCTGTGGGCCGACCCCACCATGACATGTGAACTGTAAAGGCCTGCCAGCAGGAAAGCCAGATCAGGCCAAACAGCAGGCAGAGCAGACAGAGCCACTGCAGACACAGCCACACCGCTCCTTCTGGAGTTAGGCAAACATACCGGTTGTCACCTGGGCCCTAGAGCGACGGTCCCCAGGCCACTATGGGGAGCAGGGTAGCTCAGGGTCATGACATGGTTGCTGCTCTGAGCCCACTCCAGCCCACCACCACTGCTCTCGTGTGCTTTGGACCTGCTGGGCACGCCCAGCACAGGCCTGGCCTCCTCAGAGCAGAGCAAGGGGGCTGGCTCACCTTCTTGGTGAACTTGGTGGTTTTGATCTCCACAAAGGCTGCGCTCACTGCTTTCAGGTAACTGTGCTGATTGTTGAAAGTCACACGACCAGACCCTGGGGACAACAGGAACAGCTCACGTTCCAACCTCCCCCCAGCTGCCTGTTCTGCAGGACTGTCATCCTGCAGAAACATGGGGGGGCCTACTTGTGTCCTCCCCAACTCCCTGGAAGCCATACTAGAATACAAAGTCCTGGAGTTTCAACCACATGCTTCAACCGCATGGCACCAGCCTCAATGAGGCACTCGCTGGCCATGTGGCTGGGGACTGGAATAAACCATACAGCCATGGGAAAGGCCAAGCTCCATATTGTGGGGAGCAGAAGGCGCAGCTCAAGTCACAGAATTCAAGTCTTGTGTAAAGCTCAGCTGCCAGGCGGGCAGCGCCAGCAGGGAGGCCAGGAGCTGCACGTCCTGCCCACTGCCCCTGGGTGAGGCACGGGGGTCCCGCTGCAGCGCTAATGGCACACAGCACTCCCTCTTGATCAGATTCAGGCTGGATGCACAGACTCCACTGTGGGCAAAATGACCTGGCCGCTTCCAGATCACAGAGAGTTTGGGTTCTGCTCCATCTCCAAGCCCCACCTTCACCATCACTCTGCTGTGACCACTCTGCTGTGACTGGGAACTGACCACACTTCCCAGAGGGGCTGATCAACACCCAGGGGCTGGACCCACAGACTCTAACCTGGGACAGTACCCAGGCCAGGGCTGTGCTTTCACCAAGGTGACCCAGAAAAGTGTCTCAAGAACAATAAAGCACCCAAGGTGATCAGGAACCATGTTGTTTTAATGAAGTCTTCTCTGCCACCCATCCCAGGCGGCGCGGCTGTGAACTTTGAGCCTGCTTCCTCCTCACCTTCCCAGCCCCTCCTCTGGTCTCCGGCCACTCTGTCTGTCTTGGGGCTGCAGGCAGAGGGCTGGGTGCAGAGGGCGGTGCTGGGTGACTGGGCCAGAGGAGACGCCACGCTGTTGGCACGTGCCGATCTGCAGACCTGGGTCAGGTCTCTCGCTGCACTCCCGAGGGGAAGTATCACAATCTTGGTCTCCTCCCCGGGGCCGCCCAGCTTTGCCACACAAAAGTGGGACACTCACCAATGGGATACTTGTGCTTATCTGTGTCAATCCCAGCATACACCACGCCCCCAAACAGGTCGTTCAGGATGGCCGCCAGGGCCTCGGCGTTGAGCATGCCGTGCAGAGCGCCGACAAACACCGTCCTGCTGGGGTCAAGCCTCTGAGACGGGCTCCTGACGAAGTTGCTGTCGGCCAAGACCCAGGGGATCACCTGCACCTGGAGACCACCCAGGGGCGCTTCAGCACGCAGAGCCACAGGTTGAAGGGCTTGGCCAGCCCCCAGCGGCCACCCTTGCCCCCAACCCAACCCAACCCAACCAGAGCTGAGCCTCTGCCCACAATGGTCAAGATCACCACAAGAGCACCGCTCATCCTACAGTACAAGGCAGACAGTATGAAACTGACAGAGCCCCGCTCATCATGGCCTCCCACCATGTGGTTACCATGAAGGAACATGGAGGCCACCATGCCGTCAGTGAGAACGCAAGGGATTCACAGATACTGCAAGGCTGGAAGGGCTGGCACGGGGTGGTCCCTCATCTATCAGAGCACCAGTTTCTGCCTGGCTGCTCTGCCTCTGATCCTGCTTTCTGCAAGGTGGCAGGAGATAGACCAAGCATCTGGGTCCCCGGCAACCTATGTGGGAGAGTGGGAGACCAGGAGGAAGTCCCAGGCTTCTGGCTTTGGCCTAACCAACCCTTACTGTTACAGTCTTTGGAGGAGGTGGGGGTGCTGGTGTGTGTGTGTGTGTGTGAGAGAGAGAGAGAGACAGAGAGACACGAGAATGAATGAGTGCTTGGATGATCTCACTACTCCTGCCTTTCAAATGAATAAAATTTTTTTTGGATCAAGATCCAGGACAACAGGATGAGGCAGCTTGTGGGATCCGCAGCATGCAGGGTTCTTGACCAACCAAGGCTGGAAAGCAGGAACTGGAGAAGGCATGGGGGGCAGCACGCAGGGAAGACCCCTGGGGCCTTGTGGTTACACAGGGCAGGAGCCGACCATGCCTTCACCCATGGATCCTGAGCTCAAAATAAAAACCTGGTGTAGCAGGCACAGGAAGACACCATGAAGTGAGCTGGTGGGGGATCTGTCTGTGTGATTGATCTGTGAGGACCCTGGGAAAAACGGACTAGGTTAGAGCTAGTAAGTTCCACAGTAGAGGGACTGTAGATAATGTACTTCTCCCTTAAAAGAAAAAACCCCACAAGATATGATTTTAGAAGTTTTCACTATAAAGGAAAGCTAAATGTTTGAAGAGGTAAGTATGTGTGGGCCCGGCGGCATGGCCTAGTGGCTAAAGTCCTCGCCTTGAACACGCCAGGATCCCATATGGGTGCAGGTTCTAATCCCAGCAGCTCCACTTCCCATCCAGCTCCCTGCTTGTGGCCTGGGAAAGCAGTTGAGGACGGCCCAATGCTTTGGGACATTGCACCCGTGTGGGAGACCTGGAAGAGGTTCCTGGATCCTGGCTTCGGATTGGCGCAGCACTGGCCGTTGCGCTCACTTGGGGAGTGAATCATCGGATGGAAGATCTTCCTCCCTGTCTCTCCTCCTCTCTGTATATCTGACTTTGTAATAAAAATAAAATAAATCTTAAAAAATAATAAGTATGTGTGCCCCAACAGGTCATTCTACAATGTATACATATGCCAAAGTATCCCATAGTACCCCATAAATGGGTATAATTGTTATGGCTTCAAAAAAGTTTAAAAAAGAAATAGGGTCTTGCAACAGGAGATTGAGCTGAGGCAGAAACCACAAGGAGGTAAGGCAGTGGCACTGAGGCTGGGCCCTGGCCAGGGGAGACACAACCCTGGCAGGGTGCAGACTGCTGGGTAGTGCAGACAGAAGGGTGCCAGGTTCGCATGCCTTTGAGATGAAGGAGCCTGCAAAAGGCACTGGAAGGTGGAGAGCCCATTTTGCACAGAGAACAGTTTGGGATTACAGGACAGCCCAGGAAGGGCCCTGCAGGACACGAGGCTACACGGAACTGGAGAGGTGTGTTTGTTAACAGGTAAACACAGAGTGGGGAAAGATAGCAGGGGCTTGAACAATGGCTACAGTGGCAGGGCGGCAGGAAGAAGGGGAGTCAGGAGAAATGTGCAGCTTGCAGCCAGAGCTCCGTGGATGGACAGTCAAGCCCTGTGAGGGAGTTCGCCGGCAACAGGAAGGTGTCCAGTCCAAGGGGTGCTGAGCAGGGCAGAACAAGGTAGCAGCTGGGGCCCACAGTCTGGAGGGCACAAGGCCGGTGCATCCGCCAGACTCCATACAGCAAGGAAGACTAGAAACGTGGACCCCCACAGCAGCCAGAGGCACATTGAGCATGTCACTGAGACAATGTGAAAACGTGACACATCCAGGAAATGAGGGGCCAGCTCGGTTACAAGGACCATTTAGTTTAAACCCAACCTATATATACATTGTTTCAAAATAGTTTACCTTTTGGGTGAAGGCTCACAGTAAAACTTAGCAGAAAACAGATTTCTCATATTGCTCTGGCCCCGCAGGCACATGGCCGCCCCCAGTGTCCACACAGCATGCTGCAGCCAAGGGTGCCTTTGCTGCAATCCCTCGTTCACCTTAGGGCTCTCTCCAGGAGTCTCTGGAATGCGTCATGTGTTGCGACAAGCATATGGCGACAAATCTCTAACACTCCAGGGACACATACAACAGCTTCCCTGCCCTCCAACCGGTCAAGCTGTGCCCTTTCATGCCACCCTGCTGGACCCCCGGCAACCAAATAGGCATTGCTTTTTGCAAGGCTCAGAGACACAGAATATCCAGTCCAAGGTCACAGAAGTGACAAGCTCTGGAATCAGAGTCAGCAACACGCCAATGCCTGAGCTCAAACCTGCTCTCAGGAGCGATTCTGACACTGTCACTAGAGCCACAGGGGCAGGGAGCTGGGTCAGAGGCTCCTACACAGACCAACTCGGGACAGCTTGGCTGAGATTCATGAGACAAGCACAAGACAGCACGGCCCCGGGTGGGAGTGGGCTAAGGAGGAATTCACCCACCCGGCGCTCAAGGACCCTGTCACCCTCATGACCACAACAAGATTAAGTGCTGGGAAGAGAGAGGGACCAGGCTGTGGTGTCCTGGGTGAAGCCACTGTCTACAGCGCCAACATCTCATCTGGACACTGGCTCCTGCCCCATTTGCTCTACTTCCCATCTAGCTCCCTTCTAACACACTTGGGAAAGCAGCAGGGGACGGCCTGAGTGTTTAGGTCCCTGCGTGTGGGAGACCCCGATGGAGCTCCTGGCTTCGGTCTTGCCCAGCTCTGGCCACTGCGGCCATCTGTGGGAGTGAACCAGCAGATGGAAGTAAATCTTTCTCAAAGGGAAAAGACAAACCAAAACAAAAACCAACAGGGGCTAGGATACAATTTGACCAGCACGGGTAGACATGTGCACATATACCCCTATGTCCCCTTAAGGCCCCAACTTTCACTGTGCAAGCAAGAGGGAGCTGGGCTTGGTTTGGGGCCCACTGCTGAAGCCTCACCACAGCAGGAATGCTGCTCGCCTGTAGCCTGGGCCACTCAGTCCACAGGAATCCAGGGCCTGCGCATGAGGGAGGGACATGACGCAGACTCACCTCCTTGCAGCGCATCCTGCGGCTGGACATCTTGAAGTAGTATTCGCTAGGGCCGTCTGGGCTCAGTGGGTCATGGGAGCAAGCCTGCAGCAAGGCCCGGACATATTTCTCTATCTCGAAGACCAGATACACGTAGCCTACACCCAGAGGAAACACCGCGTGAGCACCCCTCCTGTGGCTATGCCTCAGCCCCAGCTTCACAGTAGGAAGTGTCTTCTGAGAGAGGAGGCGTGGTGTCTTAAGACAACATCTCCCTCCTCCGGAGCACACACTATGTCAGATGCTGAGGCTGAGGAGGGGAGACATGCACACCGTCTCCAGTCCTGGTGAAGGAAGACACTGGCCGGCTGGGACAGGGTCTCCTATCCCCACAGCTCTCCACCCCTGGACACAAAGGTGCTCCGGCCACAGAGCTGGGCTCTTGTGGGAAGGTGGGGCACTCCACCGCCAAGGTAGGTGCTGCTTGAAAAGCCTATTTAAACCACTGGTTCTGTTCAGGGACGATGGGGCAGAGTGAAAATAGCACCTGCTCCTTTCTACAGGGAAGGGATCTCATTTCAGACCAGTGAGGAACCAGACTCTTGGTCCTCTCTCCTGCAAATTCCAAAGGGATCTCAGAACCAGGTCAGGCAGCAACGTTAACTGGCTGGGCTGGGCTGGGAGTAGGGGCGGGGAAGCTTTCCTGGCACCTAATGTTGAGAGGGAAGGCACAGGGATTTGGGTCTGTAGGGAAGTGCCCGAGGAAGGGGTTTTGGAGGCAACTCCCACTGCAGTGTAGGTCTGGGCAGGCAGTGTTAGCTTGGGGGAAGCAGGGATGTGCTGTGTTGAGGAGGAAGCACCCACATTATTACCAGCATGCGGCTGTGACATCCCAGCACCCCTCCGTGCAGTTACGTCTGAGGGAGGGGAATAATAAAGATCCTACCATGTCGGTATTACCTTTAGGAATATTACCTTTGGGAGGACACCGGGGGTGCTTGCCATCCTTACCAGGCCACTCCACACTCAAAGAGCCAAAAACACGGAAGGTGTTAACCAATCCAGCTGCAAGAGACATCCAGGACAGTGCAAGTGGGCACTAGTCCCCAAGGCAAGCCCCGCGCCCAGGGTCCCAGGGGCCTCTGGACACACTGCTCCCCACCCTGCTGCCTCGGGAAGGACACACCCCACCTTCACCTCCAGGGGCACAGCTACCTTCCGTAATGTCCCAAGGGACTCCTCCTAGGAACACCTTGCACGAGTAGATGGGGTTCTTGTAATTCCGAGGTGGAAGCTGGCCACTCCAGGTGCAGGTGGCTTCATTCACAGCTTTGGTCCAAGGCAAAAAAAAAAAACAAGTTGAGAGAATCAATGTCCCCCACCCTCCGAGGGATGAACTGGTCCCGAAAAACCAGGCTGCTTGACGGATGAGCCACAGGGAGCCTTCTGTGGCTCTCAACAATGCTCTTGGCCATGTATGGTCATCGCAGTTCACTTCATCTGACCTCAGAGGACACACCAAGCCAGACACACAGGCTAAAAACTGTCCTAGTCCAAGCTATCTTCAGACACTGAATTGACGCAGTAACTACACAGCGGTTTATTAAGCTATTGCTTACGGCACTGATTCAATTTATAATTCCTTGAAAGTACACACGGCAATTTTACATGCAATGTCCTGCAGCTTTGTGGGTCCACACTGGATGTCTCCCAGTGTTCAGATGGGGAACCCTCCACTGCTCCTCTGGTCTCCATCATGGAATTTAAGTAAAACCACCATTAGCAAACAACCAACAGCAAGATGAGAATGTGACCGCTGTACCCCAAGTCAGAACGTCACGTGCCTGGGTTGTGCTTACAGCACCAGGGCAGGCCCCAGGCTTCCCTGTGGACCAAAAGCACAAGATGGAGGGTTTGTCCCCCACCTCTCCTGCTTCCCACCTGGGCTGAATAAAGACTCACCCAAAACCTCTGAAAATGACCCAGCTCTGACTCAGACACCACGCTCAGAATCCTTCTCGCTGTGTAGGTCAAGAGCTGTCTGGCCTGCCCTGGGTCTTCCTGGAGGCCTGCTCTTGGTGAACAGCTCAGCCACCTATCTGGAATTCCTTTTGTGCCTGCTCTGTGTTTTGCCAGGTCACAGCCTGACCTCAGAGGGGACTGGCTGAGCCTGGCCCATCTGGCCCTCTCCTCCTCAGCACTCAGGCAGAGAGCCAAGGAAACGAGCCATCACCTTCGTCCGACCCAAGGACACTGATGGCCATTCTCTAAATTGGGCAGCATCAGCAGTATCTTAGGACGGGAACAGGACAGCAGTGGCAGTGGGGAGGCACAAAGGTGAGGTGCCAGCGCCTTCAGGGTCAGGCACCAGCTCTGAGCAGCAGGACAAACACACAGAATGAAGTAAGTCACCACTCAAGACCCTCTGAGATGTTGCTGGGCACCCCCTACAGGATTAGCACAACCTACCTGCCTCAGGACACTTCACTGAGGGGAAAAAATGGAATTAAAAGATGTTTCCTTTGATGCAGAAAAACTTGAAACCCATGTGCAATTTTTTTCATAATTATGTATTTTCCAGGAATCTTTTGAAGAGCTTTAATCTGGGTCATTTACTTCTAAGTACTGGCATGAGATTTTAAAAACCTGGGCCTGGTGCGACAGCCTAGTGGCTAAAGGCTTTGCCTTGCATGTGCTGGGATCCCATATGGGCGTCCGTTCCAATCCTGGCAGCTCTGTTTCCCATCCAGCTCCCTGCTTGTGGCCTGGGAAAGCAGTCAAGGACGGCCCAAAGCCTTGGGACCCTGCACCCGTGTGAGAGACTGAAGAAGCTCCTGGAAGCTGGCTTCGGATAGGCGCAGCTCTGGCCACTGTGGCTTCTTGGGGAATGATATCAGTGGGTCGGAAGATTTTCCTGTCTCTCCTCCTTTCTGTGTACCTGCTTTATCAATAAAAATAAATAAACCTTAAAAAACAAACAAAAACCTCTGAAATGTGTTAAATGATAGCTTAAACTCCAGACCCTTGAAGTCTCCTAAGCAAGCAGGAGAGACGACCACCAACGCTGACAGCGGGTCGCACACTGTCCTGAAGGCCTAGGGTCCTGGCCACTGCCATCTGGAAGCCAGGAGGGGGCAGACATTCTCATGGAGCCCCACCCACACAGCCAACCTTCACAGAGGAACACAGGGAGGGGCACATGCACTCTGGCATGGGCCTTGCACCACATCACTGTGTGTTCCTCCTTTGCACTCAGTCTCCAAGCCACGGGTGGGTCTGTCCCCAGCAGCACTTGGTTCTCAGCACTGTCTGTTCTCTGTGCCTCTGCCAGACTGCTTGCGAGTGTGCGAGCCCCAGTCACTTCCTCTTTGCTCCCAGAGCAGCGCCCTTGCCACACTCACCTGCAGCTTGCCGGTGCAGCCTGGCCTCTCTCTCTATGCTGAAGGGGTCTTTGGGAGCTTCAAGCAGGTCCCAGGATGGCCACACAGACGCTCCCGGCCATCTTTTTGAAGTGTTGGTTGGGGAGGGCGTGACTGCAGCGAGTGCGGCTTGCTCCTGGTCTAGCCGGGGTCCAACGCCCATCTTTAAAGGGTCTCTGGGACCAGCGCCCGTGAGGGACAGGAAGGGCAGGGGTGGGGAAATGCGAAGGCTGGACTGGGGGAAGAAGAGAAAGACAGGTTTGTAAAGGACAGTTCTATGACAAGATGTAAGTCACACTACAGAAAAGTACAAGAAACATATATGAGTATTTGATGCATTTTAAGGCACTCTCTTCACACACTCTAAAAAAGTAGTTTTAGTTGTACTATTGAATACACTAAATAAATTCTCCAAGTTATATATTTTTGATTTTTTTTCCCACAGTGCTAGTATTCATAAAAAGTTCAGGAAACTTATCCTATTCTACTTAGGGAACGAGCTACTTCTTTCTGACCCACTATAAGACAGACACTGGCTGTCCCTGTGAACCATCAGTATCAACTTAGCTCCTCCAGGTTCTGTGCTGGCTCTGGCCAGATCAACTGCCAAGAGCAGATTGCTCTCCGTGAGGTCGCCGGTTCCACCAGAGATGTAACCAAACCGGGATTTCCCTGCAGGCTCCAGGCGGGGTTCTCAACTCTGGCTTAGGTGGGTACAGTCACCTTCAAGTAGGGTCCTCTAAGACATCCTTGAAGGCAAAATCCCAATGCATGTCAGTCTCAAGGTATGCCTCTCCAAGCCTGGAGACTGCACACGGCCGGCAGGTTAGGCAGCAGCGTGAGTAACTGAGCCACCATTTCCTACACTCATTGTGTCTGACAGGAGTCAGCACGGGGTGGGGGAGCACAGCAGCCAGTGTGGCTCACATCTTTGCTGAAACCCCTAGGCCTGCTCATCAACACCTGCGCTTTTAAAATTATCACCTAAAAACCCAAGACCTCCTGAACATGAAAGTGCTTAAACGGTGTTGCTCACAGGCTGCGGGACATACTCCTGTAGGCCACAGAGCCTCCTCTGGAGGTCCGGTCTCCCCCAGCTCAAGCCGGGAGCTCCTGGGCCTCAGCCCAGAATGCTTTCCCAGCAGGCACGCACCCTCCTGGACGTTGCAGGAGATGCAAGCCCCACGGATGTGCGCGGTGGCCCCCAGCCCCTTCTGCCACCCCACACAGCCCTGGACAGGCCTCTGAAATAGATGTTGTACCTGCCTGCCCCCAGGCAATTCCACCTCTACCCCTTACCCCTCACATTACATACGATTAGGTCTGAGAAGTGGTCTGATCCAGAGCTGAAACCACTGGTGTCAGAGTCGGAGGGACTGCTGGAGCGGGAGTCGAGGATGGGCCGCGTGTCCAGGCGGGACCCTCTAACAGAGGGCGTTGGAAACTTGTCCACCAAGTCAGACCCCAGGGGGTCCAGAGGCAGGAAGCTCAAAGGGGGCTTCCCCAGGACATTTCCCAGCGGGTTCTGGAGCATGCTCAGAACTGCAGGAGGAAAAGGGAGACCTTGAGACCCCTTGGATTCCTTCCCAGCCATCTCCTGGCAGGAGACATGTCAGATGCAGAATAAAACTCACAGATGCACCCCTGGCCACCAAGGTCGGCAGCGCATCTGGGAGACCGGCTGCCACATGGGACCCTGCTCACAGCTGTCATCACTGTGTGGACACATCCACAGCAGCCTAACAAGGAGCCTTAGCCAGACTCCCTCACCACCTGCTGACATGTGCTGGTGTGGTAGTGCAGCAAGCTAAGCCGCCACCTACAGTCCTGACATTTCGCACTGGAGTGCTGGCTTTGTGTTTTCCCCACTGTTTTTAATGCAGCTTCCTGCTAATGCACCTTGGAAAGCAGGTGAAAACAGCCCAAGTGCTCTCTACTCAATCTGGAAAGCCAGCTCCTGGCCTCAGCCTGCCCAGCCAAGGCTATTGTAGCCTTTTGGGAAGTAAGCCAAAGGATAAAACATTTCTTCCTCCCTGTCACTCTGGCTTTAAAGTAAACTTAAGGTACTCACCCAGCTGAACACAGGCCTTTATGCCATAGGCTAGCAGCCTAGTACAGCATGGCAACACTACCTTGCTTGCCAAGCGTCCTTATGCAGGGACCAAGGCAGTAGCCTAGCAGCTAAGGTCCTCGCCTTGCATGTGCCGGGATCCCACATGGGCACTGGTTCTAATCCCAGCAGCTCTGCTCCCCATCCAGCTCACTATTGTGGCCTGGGAAAGCAGTCGAGGACAGCCCAAAGCCTTGGGACCCTGCACCCACATGGGAGAACTAGAAGAGGTTCCTGGCCTCAGATCTATGCAGCTCTAGCCATTGCGGCCGCTTGGAGAGTATCTCTCTTTAAAAAAATAATAATCCTTGGGCCTGGCACAATGGATTATTGGCTAAAGTCCTCGCCTTGAACACCCCAGGATCCCATATGGGTGCTGGTTCTAATCCCTGCAGCTCCACTTCCCATCCAGCTCCCTGATTGTGGCCTGGGAAGGCAGTCGAGGACAGCCCAAAGCCCTGGGACCCTGTGCCCATGTGGGAGACCTGGAAGAAGTTCTGGGCTCCTGGCTCTGGATTGGCACAGCACCAGCTGTTGTGCTCACTTAGGGAGTGAAATCATTGGACAGAAGATCTTCTCTGTCTCTCCTCCTCTCTGTATATATGACTTTGTAATAAAAATAAATAAATCTTAAAATATGTAATAATCCTTATGCAAACTTCTGCATAAGCAGGATCTTTTGGACTTGGAAGATCTGTGAGAGAAGCAAATTGTCAAAGTTACAAATCCACATTCTGATCAGACAAACCCAGGACAGAAGCCTGGGCCAGACACTGTCCCTAGGTGGCTGTGGATTAAGGAAGAAAAAAGAAAAGCAAAACACTGTGGAACATCCTATCAAGCCTCTGTCTGCAACACCAATATCCCACTGGAGCACTGGTTCAAGTCCTGGCTGCTCCACTTCTGCTTCAAGCCCTGCTAATGTACCTGGGGAGGGGAGGCACACCATGTGTAGCGAGCAGAGCTCATGTGCTTCTGCCTAAGCCTTTCAAAGCACTAGCATGGAACTGTGAGCTGACACGAAATGTCTCAAAATGCTTGGATGCTGACACCAATCAAAAATAATCCTCCACAAACTTCTCAAATAATCCTTGGCAAACCCCTGCCTGTAAGAACCACCAAATCAAAGCCCCAGGAATCCATTCCCTGAGGAGGCAGGAGACGCGCAGGGCTGTTTGAGGCTCCTCGCTGATGCTGTAAAGCCTGGGAGAGGAAAGCATGGTGAATGCTGACAGATCACATGCTTGAGTCTCAGAAGCAGTGCTGATGCCCCGGAGGGCCTCATCCTTCTTTACGGTTTACAAACACAAGTTTAGGGGGAACAGGGCTGTGGCACCCTGGCAAGCAGTCTCCAGGGTGTGACCGATGCTGACGCTAACAGACTACGTCCATGTGTGGTCTGAAGAGCTGTCGTAGGGAGGAGGGCAGAGGCTGAGCAGGAGCTGAGGATCTAAACTGCACTCACAGTCAGGGACTCTGTCCAGCACGCTCAGGTACCTGTCCCGGAACTGAAACCAGGGAGGGCTGTCCTTGTCCTACCCCTGGGCCTGGGCAGGAGGAAATGGGACTTCAGGGTTAAGAGAACAGAGACAGAGGAGATTCAGAGTGGGCCATGTATCACAGGCTACAACGGGGTGAGCTGCAGGAGGCGGGCCAGTGTTGATAGCGAGTTCTGACAATAGCCAGTTCCTGGCCACAAAGTCCTATGGGACTGCATGGCACTATGCAAGGCCTGAAGTACTGGCCAGGGCATCCCAAAGCACGCTAAAGGGACCAGGCCAACAGCACAACAGCTGACGAAATTTTTAGTCAAGGGGAACTGGTGAGGAGGAGCCTTGAGGTAGATGACCCTCGGGGGCCATGTGGGGCACTCCTGGCAAAGCGGCATCTCAAAAGAACATTCTCCAGTTAAGATAAATCAGAGAGTGAAGGCCAGGGACAAGCCAGAGAAAAGCAAAGTTTGCAGGGGTGCGGCAGAGAGCTCTGGGCTCTGTCCAGCTTCTGCCCAGAAGACACAGCACAGAGGCAGGAGGACAAAAAGGGGCGCCCCAGGTGACACATATAGGCTGGAGTGACTGTTTTTCTTCGTGGGAAAGAGTGTCAGGTGACAACGTAATAGCTACAGGCCACATTCTTCACATGTCTGTTGGCTCTCATTTCAGTCACATACCCACCTACTTCAGCTCACCTGTACTTGATTCAGATGCTCTACCCTGCCTACGGGCTCCCTTAAGGCTCTGTCAAAGCCCAGAGTTGAGCCTGCAGCACCCCTTTCATCTATCTGGTAATAAATCCACCTACACAGACGACACCCCCACATGGGCTGCCAACGGACTCCACCTTCCTGTGGGGCTCCAAGTGCATGGTGTTCTGCGACTCGGATCAGCCTCAATCAAGCTGCAGCCAGTCATTCACTCACAGCAATTTCCATGTCCTAAACACTGAGCATTTGTGGACGCTGTATCAGAAACATTTCAGGCAGATAATTCTCACTGAGCTGTAAATCACGGGTGTTATTGTTACCCCGATTTCACAAAGGGAGACTGCGACGTAGCGACAGCCAGCCCTCTGTACCGAGAACAGCTTATGAGTCACACAGTGGGCCCTGACTCTGACTCTTCACCTTCCGTGGTACACCATTGTGAACACAACTTACTTTAGGCCATTCTCCCCTGCTCTCCCAAGCCACATACAGGGAGCTGGAAGGGAAGTGAGCAGCAGGGACATGAACAAGCAACCACATGGAATCCCGGTGCTTGCAAAGCAAGGATTTGGCCGCTAGGCTATTGTGCCGAGCCCTACATACACTACTTTCAATGTCAAGGACTTCACACATGATCGTCTTCACGCTCTTGCCACCTCTCCTTTATTCCAACTGCACACAAGCACTCTTTACGACCAAGTGGCATGCCTTGAGACCCGAAGCCTCACTGAAAGCCTTGTCAGTGTAAGACTCACTAAAATGGAGGAGGAAAGACAAGGCAGGCTTCTAGCCCTACTGGTCAAGATACCACATCCTACCCTGAAACACCGGGGTTCAGTCCCCACATCAGCTCCTGACTCCAGCTTCCCGTCCACGCAGCGACAGCTAGAACTGGGGTCCCTGACACTGGCAGACTGGGTATGCTCTCCATCTGCCCCTCAAAAAAGGTATCTTTTTTAAAAAATTCAATGCATTTGGGTCCTGCCACAGTCCTGAATCAAAAACTGCATTTTATTAAGATCCTTGGGTGACTTGGGCACACATAAAGCTAACCCAGGAAACCCAGAGGTTTGCTACTTCAAGTTTCTAATCAGCCTCTCCACATACAAACAGCTTTCATGTGTAGTTACTTCACCAATTTAAAGGCTGGAGGTTGTAACTTAACCATATTTCTTGGCGCATAATGGCAACTAAAGTGCAAGGGGTTTAAAAAAAATCAAAGAAACCAAGGTGGTTTATGTGGGACATTTCCCAAAGAGCTCTGAGGATACAAGAGAGCAACCCAGGGAGAAGCAGAGGCCGAGGGAGGCTGTGTATAGAAAGAACGAATAGGAAAAGACAGTTTCAGGGAAAAGTGATGGCCAAGACATGCTGAGTAGAACATCACAAGAAACATTCCAGACTATATGTGTGAGGTTCAGCCTGAGCACAAACAGAAAGGTGCCCGAGGCAGACACAGGACAAGAGACGAAGAGGAAAATACCAGGGAAACATCACAGGATTACCGACACAACTGGGAGATGAGCTGAAGTTCAGAAGAGTGTTACGCCAAGTTAAACTGACTCAAGTTGGTAACTGCTTTGTTATGGACAAATGACTATAAAATCAACTGCTGCTACTTTCAACAGCACAGAAATTCACCAGGTAGACAGAGAGAGGGAATTGCACTTGATGAAGTGAGTGGGGTGAATCAATTATCAATAGGAGGATCTGGACATAGCGTCAGGTTCTTGGAATCTGGGACCCACAGACACATGCCCTCAAGTGACTTGCCTGTCCCCGTGGAGCTCAGCCTGGCCAAGGTGCTGTCTCGGGGGCACAAGAGCCCAACTCAGCAGTAATATTTTTAGACCAATTGTTACCTTTCTCCACTTTCCCCTGTCCCTGCCAGTTCCTGTGGGTTTTGCAGCTGAGTCACTGACGGCATTTACAAAGGCACCCGGTGTCCAGGAGGGCAGCATCGGCAATGGCAGCAGGACCCGGCGCTGGGTGCCTGCATCACCAATGTGCCAATTTAAGCTCGGCTGATGGCAAGACCATCAGGGCAAAAGCTTATCACCATTAGGCATTAGTGGGGCCATGGCAAAATCCTACCTCAGGAGTCACTGTATCTAGCTCAGGATACAAAACCCCTTCCCGGCGCCATCCATCTTTGCTTCCTTCATCCTTGGCTTTAGGCACTCCCTCTTAATCTGAAGACAGAGGGAGGGTGGTGGAGGGGCAACACTCACTCAGACATGGAAGACGGGAACCTGAATCAGCCACTCCCCCTGATCACAGGATGGATCTCTCTGCCAACGCTGGACCTCACAGGTCCAAGGTGGTACCAGGCACAGCCCTTCTTCCCAATCAGTTAGCTGTGCAGCACACATTATCGTCTCAACTTCCCTCTCCCGCAGGAGGTGTCCCAGGGTCTCCCCCTCTGCATTGAGCACTGTCGCTGCGCTCCATGCTCCAGTGTAAGACGAAACCTGAAGCACATCAGGATGTCCTAGAAGCTGTGAGGGCCCCAAGAAACTGACCTATGCAACAAATCAACACAAGGAGTGGGCAGACGAATGGGAGGCGGCTTGTCTGAACTCAGCAGTTAGAGACAGCCAGGGCAAACCTGATGGCTCAGCATTCATCACTCAACACATGTTTAGTAAACAGCCAGGCTCTGTGCTCCAGGCCAGGAATACAGTAGTGAAAAACTGGGAGTTGAAGCAATTTGCCACAAAAACCAGGAACACCCATAAAGAAGCATTCCACAGAGAAGAGACTCAACCCTTCTATGCACGTTGTCTGAAAGAGGCTGGAGGTGCAGAAGCTGCACAGATTCCTCCTCAGCCCAGGCAGATGAGGACTGCAGGGGACACAGCCCGGGCAACCTTCCTCTCACCAGTTAGCAGTTAGGACAGAAACCAGAGAGGACAAACAGGCTGATGCCCTGGGACCCCTAAAAGGAAGTGGGAAGAAACAGGACATGTCCTCTGGCAACCTCAAATGGAGCATGTGTTCTGCCCTCCTGGATTCCATACAAAATGTTCATGAAGAGTCCTCTCCGTGCAACTCCCCAACTCCCAAAGCAGACTTAGAGTCTCTCAGTTCTCTTGCTGAGTAATGCTACACAACACAACGGAGTGGCAAGGGGGAAGGCACCAAGGTGCTATGGCTGATGACAAGCTGCAGCAGTCAGATGCGTGCCCAGGCCTTTACCCACCCTAACACCTGATGGAAGAGTCCAGAGCTGTCCATAAACATTCCCTTAAGATCGATCATCTTGTTGGTGTGTTAGGGTCAGTTTTAGCAGATACCGGTTGGAATTCTGCACCTGTCCATGGCTGTGGCACCTCTGCTACTTGACAACCTGGGGCAACTCCTTTCCTCAGCTGTGTGTGCACCAGGTCACATGATGTATTTGGCACTGGCAGCAGTCAGTAAGTCAGTTTCTTCATTCCCTCCCTGCCCATTCTACCACAGGACTCAGGACACTGTAAGCTTGCCACGGGTAGCCCTGGACCTTCACCTGGCCCAGGAGAGCTTCCTGCCCTGGCAAGGGGTGAGGCCCCAAAGGGTGCTGTTCTACAGCCTGCATCCTGGGGACTTCCAGTAGGCCTCTGGGGGCAAGCACACTGCAGAGGAACCCCAGCTCCCAGAGAAGGAATGGCCTTCCTGTATCAGCCTCATACTGAGAGCTCAATGAAAGGTTTTCCTGGCACCCTGAGTCCTAAGGGGAGCAAGTAGAAGTCCCCAGCACAGCAACTATATGCCCTCCAGGGACTCAGCCATGTGCCCCCACGCTGCTGAATGTCATCAGGGTATAGAAGAGGGTAGGTGGGCAGCCGCTCACCAAGCAGCACCCAGAAAGCAGGTTGTAGCCTGGCCTCCACAAAGGTACAACACAGGGTCCCTGCTCTCTCTAAGGACCACTCCTGGACTGCCCAAGGTTGCCGAGATCTCTGCCTCCTCCCTTCTCGTGGCATGCCAGCTGGCTGGTCTTCAGAAGGGAAGGCAGTGTAGGCTCTGCGGCGTGGGCTGCATGTTCCCGCAAGGCTGGCGATGGGGCACGATCTGGCACTGCAGCTGTTGGTGGGAGGCTGCATCCCACTCCAGGAGGCGGAACCCTCCGTGGGCTTTCCCAGAAGGCCCAGAGCTCAGGAGAGAAGAGAGACCGCCATCCCACAGCTCCAGGAGCCAGAGACAGCGATCAATGTGTCCTTGCCCTCAGAGAGGAAGAGGCACCCAGGGTAACCCTGCCCTAAGCCAGCCTGCCCTGCTGGGGCACAGCTGACCCACACCAGTCCCCTCTCCAGACCACAGAAGCCTGTAATATTTATCACTGAAGTGCCTTAAAAAGAAATGGAGAAGAAAAAACATCCGCACCCTGGAGGCAGAAAGTGAGCAGCAGGGAGGAGCTGGGAAGGGCGAACCAGGCTGCTTCTCAGCTCCTGATTTTATAGCCACTTTCAGACCACTTGCTTTTCTCTGACCCTAATGCTGTGTTTCCAACAGATCCTTGCAGGTAAGGAAATGCAGAGCTAAAGATGGGCCACACCCCATCTGAAGACAGAGCCTCAGGCAAACGTCAACCACAAAGGTCAGGCGCCCATCTCCTCTGGGACCTCTGCCATCTTCCAGAGAAACAGAGAGATGGGAAGCCCAGTGGCCCCCAAGCTAAGGCCCCAGGCACAGGATATCAAATGGTGACACCACACTTCTTGCCAAGGGGAACAGACAGGGAAGTTATCAATCTTTCTGGAAAAAACTTGAGTCAGTCGAAGGTCAGCACTTTGAGAAAATCCCCTCCCTTTGAGAGGTAGTTACTTTAGACAAAGCTCTTCCCCACTCATTTCGGGATATACACCATCCAACACCTTCTCTTCTCTCAGGGTATTTTATCAAAACAACCAGGCATGAAAAACCCCTAACAGACCCAACAGTCTCAGGTGCCACACAGCGTTGTGTTTAAAAAAAAAAAAAAAAAAAGACCTGTGCCAGGCAGGGCGGAGGCCAGAGAGATCAACAAGGCAGTACCTGCTGCCATGGTGGCAGGGGAAGGGTGCCGGCTCGGCAACCCCGCCAGCAGCAGCAGATGCCGCACCTCACCCTCTCTCCCCCTCTTCTCACCTTCTGGGCAAGTCTGCTGCCACTTCTACATCATGCTCAAACACACATACAGCCAAATTCAGAGCTTTAAAAGTATACTGGTTGTGTTTAAGTTCACATTTCTTCATTAATAGCTTCTTCAAGGCTCACAGCACTGAGGGAAATGAATGGACAGCAGAGGGAAGGGCTGAGCACAGAGAGCTGGCAAGTCCCTTCAGCGTGTCCCCACCAAATCCTACCAGGGAGACAAGGGGTCCTAAGGGGGGAGTGGCTCTTCCTTCCCCTGGTTACCCTCCCTACAAAACACAGGAAAAAGGCCTCTGGAACTGGGGTTCCCATGCCTACCCCTTTGATGGATCAATGTTTTTAACCTTATGTTAGTCAATTCTGACAGTCCAGCAACACCCAGCTCATCCAAACGGTGGCAGTTACACTTCCCGGATAGCTCCCCCATTGTGAAAGCCACAGAGAAACAGGATCTGGTCAACCAGCAGTCCGCCCGGGAGTCCCCTCCCCCACCCAAAAGTGTTTTGCTTCATCATCTCTAAGACAGGCCCTTCCAGCTGGAGGCCGTCACCCAGGGGACCCTTCTTAGGGCCACCACAGGGGCGGAGGAACAACTCCAGGGGATCCAGCAGGCTCAGTGGAAAAGCCATGCTGTCTGGCTGAGTGGCCATCTGTCCAGCTACAATCACAGCTAGCATCCTCATCTCTCCCCAAACAGCTCCATGTTGTGTGTGTCCAGGGGGTGAGAGGATGCAGTAGGGACAGAGCTGTGGTGGTGGGTCTCCTCCCTCCCAACCCCAGAAGCCCCTTCCCCAGCCAAACATTCTCAGGCACTCACCTGAATGTGTGCTGTTCTGGGCTGAGGAGTCGGAGTCCTGCGTGCTCCAGGGACGGTCCCAGCCGGTCAAGCTGAGGGACTGCAGGCCAAGGCACAAGTCATTTGCATCTGGGAGGCCACGAGAAGATTCTTGCGCTGAGGTGGGGAAAAGCATCCTGCTTGCAAGTGCTTCTTCAGAGTCCTGGAAGTCTGTTTTGGACAGGAACACAGCAGAAACCCCAGAGTTAAGGGCTGGTTTCCCCTAAAGTATCAACAATAAATGTCATTAACAACAGTTTCCAGGCTGGGGGAGCCAGACATTCAAGTCAGTCGGGTGCTGCAGCCTCCGCCTCTGCACTTTGGGGGCGTCAGGGCGAGTGCTGTGAACCACGCAGCCCCCTCCCCGCACACACCCCTATCCCGGCTGCATTACAGACAGGCCAGCATGTGATCTGGCTGCTGATGCTGCCCGCGGCCAGTGACATCAGCCGGCAGAGCCGTGCAATAGAGAGCCGCCTCATCCCTCACAGAACGGGGGTGGAGACTTGCCTCCCGGGGAGAGACAGCACCGAGCTACTTGGAATAGTCTGGGCAGGCGTAGGGCTGCAAGGCAGCACCCTCCCGGTCTCCAGCAACAGCGGCTGTGGCCGAGCGGGGGGCCCGTGGGCACGACTCAAGTCCTCCTGCTGACAGCGGAGCTGGAGTGGCTGGCTGCCTGCTGTTGCGGCTCTGCCCTTCCTCTGCTCTCCACCCCCAAGCTCCGAAACACTCCAGTTCTGGATTCTCTCCAGCTGCTGGCCCAAGCCTTGGCTTTGCAGCCTGATGCAAATCTTCACAATCCTGCTGGCAAAAACCTATGTGCTCTGAGTGGCCCTTAGTAGCCACCCTGACACAGCAGTGTTGACTGCTGTGGAGGAAGAAAAGGGGAGCACCTTCAGAAACACGGCAAGCTGGGCCCTGGGGAGCAGTTCCGGGTGTTCTCAGCTCCGGCAGAGGGAGGGGCAGCAGGCTGCTCCAGGTCCTTCTCACAGGACAGGAGCCTGGCTCTGAGCACATCTGTCAGGTCCACTTCTTGGCTCAGGCAGCTGTGGGTGCAGACCACGGAAGCACTCCCTAGGCAGCATCTGATTACCCCACAAGAGACAAACTGTCTCCCAGGTACTGTTCCCAGGCTCCGGAGCTCACATCACCTGCTCTGTCAACACTGATTCTGCCCTTCCAGGAGCCCTCAGGGTGATACTGGCCAGCCGGGAGGGCCAGAGATGCCATGCACTACCAGGGCCTCCCTCAGGGTTGCTGCCTAGGATTACAATACCATTTATGTGAGCAACACAGCTCAGCAACCAAGCCTCAGAAAGCCCAACTTTTGAAGCCTCCTCAATTTTCTCTGTGCCAGCATCCCCTCTGAGAGTGGCCAGGGCCTGACTCAGGATGCTCTGTGTGTATTCTGGTGTGGGGCAGGGGGCGGGGGGTGGCTGGTCAGTGGCAGGCACTCCTCCCCAGCTGCTGTGTCATCCAGTCACGTTATTCCTGTCTGGCTGTGTACATGCCCCACTCGCTCAGGTTCACCACGGCTCATGCTGCACAAGATGCCGCCCCTGCAGGTGCTACCGCCATAGCCCCAGCATTCCCTGCCTTCAGCGTCTACCAAGCCCCCTTCTCACAGCTATAAACTTCAAAATTAAACCAGAGGCATTCTTTACATAAAAGCATAACACTCCCTTTTAAACAAAGCATAATCCTACATAAGTAGCCCCTGCATCCTCCAGAATGTGTCTCTGCACAGTACCCCACACCCCAACCCAAGAGCATCTCTGAGAGGCAGCCATTCCATACACAGAGCATCTGGTTCTCACAGGCACACTGGGCCTCCCAGAGACTGATCATCAACCACGCTTTCACATTGGCATCAGCAGGACTCACCAGAAATGGTGAACTCCAGGTCTGACGTGAGACCTGCTAGACTGTCTGCACTTCCCCTGGCCTCCTGGTCAGGACAGGATGCGTGTGCATGCTACCTGAGTACCACAGCCCCTACCCAGGCTGTCAGACTCATCTGTTAACTCCGAGGATCAGGCAGCTCCAAGCACCAGCAGCCCGACTGTTCTCAGCTAGAAAACCGCACCGGAGACCTCACCTCTTCACATATCTGACCTTTAGTTTTTCCCAAAGTGTGTGGCTACCCCGGAAGGATTCCTTCACTAGAAGTAGAATCAAGGGAGGCCATGCCTGCTAAGCCTTTGACGTGGCATGCAGGGAGGAGCCTTGGGGCCTGCTCTGCTCACAATCACCACGATGTGCTCTCCGACAACTTCCTCGGTCTTTCTGTGCAGCTCCTCCCCTGTGACGTGGCACAGCAGTGGCTCTAGGGTGCTCGGGGAGGCCTGGGCAAGCCTGCAGCAGTTTCTGGTAAGACAGCCAGTGATACACTGGGACTGACCACAAGCTCCTGCAGAACCGCAAAGGCCATCCCAGAAACACACTGCTCTATGGCCGTTGACTCTGTCCCTCTGACTCCCGCCCCTGGCTTTGCCATGGGAGTCTGAGAAGCAAGCTGTCCATACAGGGCTCCTGCAAGGAGCAGTTGAGACCAGCCAGCAAAGGCCAGCTGCTTAAGCTGGGGCCCACCTGCATTTCTCACACTCATCTCCTGTGATAAAAAAGCACTTGGCCCTTCTTATCAGAGGATGTTCTTCAGAACCCTCTGCCGGGAGTCAGCCAGATCCTCAGAAGGAACCAAATCTGGGAGCCAGCACGGGCTGAAATAAAAAACCTTACTCTCAGGCAATCCACCTCAATGTCTCCAATGTTTTTTCCTGAAAGTTTCTTGTATCAATACTTACCAAGTTTCCCACGTCAGTTCTTCATTCAGTTCAAAACTTTAAAATAGTTTTCCTTTGAAAATGTCAGTAATTCATAGCCAAATCCCAGATTTTTGTAACAACTCAAGAGAATAATTAACCATAAACTGAAAATCAGCCACAGTTTCACCATGTTCTGGGTGTGTCTCCTAAGAGCTGTTACACATAATCCCCATGGCGCAGCATTGTGGCGCTGCACATTAGGCCACCAGCACCCCCTACAGTAGCCAATGCCCACTGTGACTGCTCCACTTCCATCCAGCACTTGGAAAAGCAGCAGAGGATGGACCAAGAGCTTGCATCCCTGCCATGCAAGTGTGAGACCTGGACGGGAGTTTCAGGCTCTTGGGTCACCCTGGCCCAGCCCAAGCTGTTGATGCCATTTGGGGAGTGAACCAGCAGACATATCTGTCTTGTCCTTTCTTTCAAATAAGCAAATCTAAAGAAAACAGAGTGAGAGCAAGAGAGTGAAATACACTCACCAAACTCCTACCTGTTTGAGCAGAGCCTTTCACAGGCCTTCATGGTGGGGTCTGCATAAAGCATCAGTGGCCTTGTAAGAGTAAGGAGGCCCAGATCTTGTCTTGCCTCCCACACAATGAATGTGAGGTGGCCAGAGGTCGGCTCCATACTCCAGGACATCACAGTCTACAAAATCAGGAGCCAGACACACCCATTTCCTGCCAGATCACCCGGCCAGAGGTAGAGGAATGCTCCCCCTGACTGAAGCCTCTGGCTCTAGGGCTCACACCACTACAGCTTTAGCTCTGCACATCAGAACCTATCTAACCCATGGAGAACTCTTATGTCACCAAAACGTAGAACTGAAGCGCCCTAGGCAGGTGGTCATTCCCGAGTGCCTGGCAGAGGAAACGTGGGAAGAGTGGAATAGCACCTGTATGTGCTCTCTTGTGGAACCATTACGGCAAGAAGTAACGAGGGCTCCACCATACAAGGGCATTTTAAAAAGTTCACCAGAACTGGATTTGAACTGCAATACTGCAACAAGGTGGAAGAATCCACCCTGGGGGGAGGGCACAGGGAGGGGTTGGGGGAATCCAATGAACTGGAATCCAATGAAACTTTTGTGTCACAAAATGAAATGTAATAATAATAAAAAAAAGTTCAGGCATGGCGGCATGGCCTAGTGCCTTGAACGCACCGGGATCCCATATGGGTGCCAGTTCTAATCCCGACAGCTCCGCTTCCCATCTAGCTCCCTGCTTGTGGCCTGGGAAGGCAGTCAAGGACAGCCCAAAGCCTTGGGATCCTGCACACACATGGGAGACCTGGAAGAAGTTCCTGGTTCCCAGCTTCGGATTGGCACAGCACCGGCTGTTGCACTCATTTGGGGAGTGATTCATTGGAAGGAAGATCTTCCTCTCTCTCTCTCCTCCTCTCTGTATATCTGACTTCGCAATAAAATAAATAAATCTTTAAAAAGAAAAGTTCACCAGAGATGGAATCAAGGGTTGATTTGGGTACCAATAACTTCTTTTAAATTTGCGTATAGAGACTTCAAAGTTCAGGGAGAATGTGTAATAGTTATTTAACCATGCATGCACTTTTTCAACATCATTTGCACCGAGATAAAGCCACCTTTGACCTCTACTTCCCCAAGACTGGTTTGAAGTACCCTCAGAGATAAGACAGGGACACAGGAAGCCAGGCAGGCTCCTGGGACAGGGTCAGCCTCACTGAAAAGCATTTCATGTTGTAAACTGATTCTTTAAAAAAGGAAGAGAAGGGGAGCCAGATGTGCTGGGGCCAGCAGAGACAGGGAGAACAGGTGCACAGGGAGGGATCTGTGGCCTCATCAGGAGAGAGCCGGGGGAGGACGACAGAGCCGGGACAGCAGGACAAGGAGAGGAAGGCCAGCATGGCAATCTCTGCAGGAGGGAATTCAATGTTGTTAACAGGCATGATTAGAACTATGAGAACTCTCGTGTTAGTGGCTTGAAGCTGGTTATGGGCCAATTATAGATACTATGAACTGCTGATGTGCATGAGGGCGAGATGCTCATGCATTTATTTTCCTTTTGTTAATAGCTAGGACACTATTTTTCTTGCCCAAATCAAGGAAAGCAAAACATTAATTTTGGAAAAATCAGGGCAGCTTAGGGGGGAAGAGCAAGCATGCAGGAATTCCATCCGAGCCAGCCACCTGTCCAGACCTTTCTGGCAGTGGTCTGTGCTGAGGCCCTTGCACACCAACTGAGGGCACTGCCAGTCTCCAGGGCAGGGCTTCTCTAGCCTGGGAAACCACAGGCCTCACTCAGGAATCTCACTAAAACACCAAGGGTTCCCATCTGATTTGGCAGTCTGGCCCAGACTCCACAATCTGCATGG